ATTATTTTAATCGCATCTTTAATATTTATAGACTATATTAAAATTATAAATTAATAAACATTCAAAATTACCTGAGAAAGTCCTAGATATATCGAAACTGTTTCGGAAATATACAAAAACCTGCCATCAGCTGCTAAAGCGAATGCAAATCCGTCTAATGACTGAAAAATACATAAATAATCTTCAAAATAAAGTTAAAATATTTAAATATTTATAAAGAAAAAAAGATATTTTAGTTTCATAATCTCTCCATAGATGGTTCTGTCCCTTATCTAATATTGAGATATGAGGCCATAAAATACACTCCTCTCTAATGTGTGCTATTTAAATACCTTTTAACTTAATAAGACTGTTGAATACAACTTTTATAGTAGATTGGAAACAAAAATAGATATTTTTTTCTTTTATTAAGGTTTTAATTTTAGTAATTATTTTCATAGTAACGCGTATAATAAAACGCTTTTATGTCATTTATATAAGTACATTTGTACATGGAATACCCCTTAAAAAATTATTATATATAACTACATCGCATATATTGTATATTTTATTAACTGTTATTAGATGTTTATAAAGTAATTTATCTCTTTTTTTCAATTACTGTAATATTGAACAGCTTTTGTAGTATAATTTTCAAATCTTATTAAGAAAAACTGATTCTTTGGTTATAATCGAATCTCCTTAACATTAGGGGCCTATTTGAGAGAATTATAATTAGCTATTCTCCCTTCCACTTACATTATACTCTAAATTAAGTCAAATAATAACAGCTATTATGAATAAAATTTCTCTAAATTATGGTTATCTATTGTTAAAAATGTTATTGTTAATGGAACTCAAATCCTGATAGGAGTGGTCGATGGACTAGGCTGTCCCGGTCAAATTTGATTGAAATCTGCTCTACATTCACCGATGTAACAGCGAAATGGTAGTTTAAACATAGGCCTATAGGAGAGAAAGCAGAAGGAGATTTAATCCCGTTGCGCTAGACAGTGACCTTGAGCTTTGCTCTTCCGTATTTTGAAAGGCACTCCTTGGATTTAGGGCTCCTAATGGGTAGATGTTATAACAAGTATCGTTGCGGTTGATGCTCGAAACTGCATGCAACAGGTTCAAATATTTACCGTCGACAGCAGAAATAAACGTATAAATAGGTGTTATAGAAATTCGTGAATTCGAAAATTGAAGTTTATTTTACTTTATTTTTAAGTACACAAGAGGCCAGTCCACTTTTTCTTCCTTAACCAGTCGCGCCAGAATAATGATTCTAATTCTAAATACGGCAGAAGATGGAAAAGGTGAAGAGTTTATCTCTATTTTCAATCATTTAAATGTCAAAGCGGCTAAAAGTGTTGGTAAAATGTGTTTGCATTCGCAGTTTTTCCTGTAGAAACTTCACGTTATCTAAATTCTGTTTTATAAGCATCATTTGTAAGATAAATTAAAGCAACATTTTTCAAATAATAATTTAACGTATTAAAGGCTGAAGTATACAATGTTTATCCTTCACGAAGTTCAGTTTTTTTTTTCTTTGGTCTTTTAACCGGTATGGAAAAGTGAAGATTCGATAAGAACATAAACTAAATATTTTATTTTAAAAATACTAAAGAATAAAACTTCACCTAAAAAATAATAATAATAAAGTTCGTGGCATGAGAAATTTTCGGTGTTAATATACAAAACGTGATATCGCCAAGCGGAGCTAAACCATTGTTACAGTAATTACTTAAGGAGGATGGAGATTATAGACTGGAAGAAGATTTATAGGATTCTTACCTACACGTAACTTTACCACCGAAATTCGTGACGTAGGTGTTTTAACTATCACGCGTTACAGGAATACAGGCTACCGACAAATTACTAGTTTGAATTCCTACCATAGATACATCAATAATGTGTTGTCAGTTCTTTTAAATGACAACCCATGAGAAAATATCCTTGTTTGAATAAGGAAAAAAAAATCTTAATGCCTTTAAACAAATCTTTAATTTGATTTCAACCCGGAATATTATGATAAGACATTCATTTATTAAGACTAGTTTAAAAAATAAAGCCATTTAAGATTTTTTATTATATCATTATTCCTAATGCGCTGTTTTAGATCTAAGCCGTTAGCAATAATAAATCTTTGTTTCATCAAAATTTCCATCTGACTGTATAATTTATAAAACAAAAAAATTGAAATATAGTCTAGATGTAAACACACCTGGAAATCTAGATGAATAAATTAGATTTTATGATAATTTTTGTGTATTAAAGTTTAGGCCTATTAATGTCTCGCTAGCTAATCTGTAAGAAGCTTTTAAAAAATGAGTTCGATCCCGAAGTTTTAACTTAATCATCGAAGAAATAAATCTCATATTTTAATTTTGACAATTAGATTTATAAAATAAAATAAAAAAGAATGGGGAAATATGAAGCAGGAAATTCATTTCCTTAATTATTAAAGCCAGATTGAAGCACCCTTCTCATTCGGATGATAATGAAGTAAAAGCGCCATATTTTATATGGCTAATGTGTGCATAGTTAAAGGTTCAAACATCAAATGATATTACTCACCTGGAGGATGTGTGTCCCCTGATGTTGTTCAAATATCTCCATGGCAACTGCTGTCATAGATCGCGGACGAAGAGGAGCACCTACAACACGCACAACATCGTTCATATTAGTTTGTTTAATTTAATTTCTTGGCTATTCGGTGAAATTTTAAAATATTTAAAACTTAACTATCATCCTAGAACAAATTATTATGANTGTTTGAAGAACAGGGAGAATTTTTTCTAGAAATGAAACTTCTCGTTTGATTTGTGAAAATATTCGAATAGAAACTAATCTTTATAAGTGACTTCTCGGTTCAAAATAAAATATTTAAAATCCGTAATATTCTGTTACGAATTTTTTTTTTTTTTTTTTTGGCAAAAACACGATTTTGTTTAATTACCTGGCGTATAGTCAAAATCTCAATTATTATGATTCAAGTTAAGGCTATTTCACAAATCAGTTGTTAGAAAAATTTGGCTTTAAACTTAGAAAAAAATTAGTCAAAAAGTAGGGCAAACGTTTTTATTTTTCATTTTTAACTCTAATAATCAATATTGAAAATGGTTCTAGTCTTTATTTAAATCCTAATATTTAATTTTCAATGTATCAAAATATTTTCGTTTAAATTATTCTGCAAAATCCTAAGACGTACAGAATTAATTTTGATAAAGCAATTGCAGATATCCTAATTAAAATTTTTATATATTTTGAGAATATTCTTAAATACAAAGCATTAAAACATTGAGTTTAAAAGAGAGATTGATTCCATAAAAGACTTACTCAATCTTATCACAGATTATGATGAATTTAAATTGATTTATGAAGTGAAATTTTATCTCTGATGATTACATTTGGAGTCGAGAATAGACCTATTTGTTATTTCCAATATGTTTCTCTATAATTCACATAAATAAAAAGACAATATGCAAGTCAAAAATATGTATAAGACTTTTTATATATAAAATAGGCCAGACTGAAAATAAAGAAAAACTGAAATGCTCATAAAATAGTCATGGCAATTCCCATTCAGTTTGGAAGCAATTTTTACTTCTAATGCAATTGCACCCATCTAATTACCATTCACTCTTTTCTGAGTGTTCAACCAAGAAGGGTAGCAACCCTCTAGTCTCTCGAGTACTGCTTACATTTAAAGCGAGGGGATGATCGGTGCCTCTGTAGTGATAAAAATCGAGTGCAAAATCGTTTACGTTCCCTTCACTCTCTATAAGTCGTGGCAAAACGGCGTTACATCTATTACTAAAAACTAATTTTCTGTCAAGGTTATTTGAATGCCATTTTACCTCTTTAATGCATCTCTGCGTAATGAGGCCACATATAGATTTGTTTAAAAATTCTATCTGATGAAGCACGTCGACTGGTTTTTCTTTTAATTCTTTAAGTTTGGTTTTTAAGAAAAGGTCTATCGGCTAATGGATAGCAGAGTGAAAAGCATTAAGGAATACCTGCTTAGTGAAATTTCGACTAGGTAATTTTTTAAATGAATGATTTATTAAATATTTTTTATTTGAAAACTGTACACTGAATGCACAGTATCTTCGTCAGTTTTGTATTTTCAGTAGCGCGTTATCCTATGGACAAAAAAGAGAGTAACTGCGTGGGGCTCCACCTGAAACCAATGTTTTATAAACTCATTAGTGTAATAAGAATATCGAAATTTAAATTTAGGCTATATCTGGGACCCTAGATTTTCGGTCAGGCGCAGGGTCCGCATCCTGCGCCTTAAAAAACGAACGAGGAAACCTGGGAGAATTCACCAAAATCTCCCGAAAAAAAATGTTTGAAATCAACGCTGTACATAGGGTCTGTAATTCATATTTGCCTGGGGTATCGTGAATCTATAACGCGGCACTGTATATTTTTTAAATCCTTTTCCTCGTAGAACAAATCAACAAATCACCAATCTCCTTCAATCATTCTAATTTACGGTGACAGAAATCAAATCCAAAAGATGGAAAATTAAGTCAGTTTTATGAGTCCATTCCTTGCATTTAAGATTTTGAAAACCCCCAAAGGCAACAATTCCCCGAGCACTGTAGTAACAATCAGAAAAGGCAAACGTTAACAACTTTTCCTGGACATAACATACTGTTTAATGAGATCTGAGAAAACTCCCAACGCGACTTGCAATCGCCACACACACCAGATGAAGAGTAATGAGGAAGTGTGGACCTTACTAGTCTGTGTAAATCTCCGTAGTTAGTATCCTAATTGCTAGACAACAGACCACTCGTCCGTATACACTCCCTATTGATAATTACAATCAATTAAACAATGCTGCAAAGTGAAACAAGTTGGCGAAACTGTTGAACGCTTTCAACGATTTCGGGATAATCCGAGTTTCGGAACTTTTACGGCTGATAAGGTAAGAATCAAACGATTCGAGAGATTGGTCGTAAAACGTCTCTTCTTTTCTATCCAATCCCTTATACTTTACTTACCCTATAACCTGAAGACTTGAAATGGCAACCACGTTTCGTCAGAGTAGATTTCATTCGAATACAAAACGACCTTTCAAAACCTTTGTAGGGTGTTGTGTTGTTCAATGTCATAACAGGAGCTGATTATAAAAATAGTAAATTTATAAAATTAATCTTTATAATATATAATTTAATTCAATCATAAAACTTAAGTTATTCTTTACGTTTGCAAGTACTGTATTGGAAGATTAATGTTAAGTGTTTGTTTTGTGCTGCCATCTAGAGAATGAAATCTGAAGTTTAATAAACACACCTCTGATTTTCAGAAGTACTTTGTCACGAAAATTTTCATTATTTTTTTAAAATAATTTACATTTTGTGCCGGATAAAAATTTTTAATTTTTACTGGCATAAACTTTAATGACTTTTATTTTTAGTATCTTAAAGGAATTTATTTATTAACATATCTGATTGAATATCTTTTAAGGATTTATCTACAATTTTCTGTAAAGAATTATAATTAATTAACTTAATAAATATTTATAGTCAATTCCTTTTATGTAAATGCAATGATTTTTAATAAATGAAGTAAATTTTTTCTTCTTTATATTCAAGTCAATCATTTTGTTTTTAAATCTTTTCTAATCACTTTTAACAGTGTACAAATGACTAAATAATTACAATTTTTGAACTTGAATTTAAAGATAGATTAGGTGGTACTTATTTATAATTTTGTGTTATAAAAATCCTCCTAATCTATCATTCGTTATCTCTAAATCTCAGTTAATTAATTTTCAATTAACACGATTTTTAACATATAAAAAGTAATATCGTAGACCAATTTCAGACAAATAAATCATCTTGTCTTCTTTTTTTTTAAGAGTTACAACTATAAAATTTAGTAAGCATTTTATTAAAAGAATATACCATTTCTGTTAGACATCGCAACAAACTAGTTACCTTGCCTTTCGAGGCCTGTTGGGGTTGACGGTCCACCAGGTGCGGAAGATGATCCATCATCAGATCCAACTGATCCCGGAGAGGGCATAGGTTGAGTCTGAGTTAGATTGATACCTAATTGTTCCGCTAATTCTGCATGGTCTTGTTGGTGACAGTAGTCGAAAATACTGCTCCCTGTCATTTCTACCTGTGTAGATCATGTTAATTCGTGTTTAATACTTTTTCTTTTAATAAAATGCAAATAGAAATATAATTTTTTAAAAGAATTTAATTAATTTATTATTTTTATTTTGAATGTGGAATAGTTCAATCAAATTTTAAGTAAAATTATCGAATATGAAATTAATATAGATTCGGATTTCAATGAATATTTTAAAATTTAAACGTGATAGTACAGTTATATCTTTCAAATACTAAAAGAAATGTTAAAATTATATTTATTTATATGACAAATTCTGTAAAAATTATTCATCTAACGTTATTCTATTTTTATAATTTTACTTTCTTGCTGGTTTAGTTTATGGCTTAGGTTTGGTTTATACTCTTTAGATGACATCACGTAAAACTTATTTTCCAATTGATTATAACAAATGACCCTATAAATTTGTCAAATTGAATTTGGTTCCTCTCTTCTTTTCCCGAAGAGCGACAGGTGGAAGAAGTAATCATAGTTTTACGCATTCGCATTCGTTACGTTGAGCGAAACGATTCTGATTTATGTCTTACCCATAATTTAAAAATAAATAACTTTTTATCTTATTAAATAGTCGTTTAGATTATTCTTAAGAAATGATATTATTTGAATCTAAAGAGGTGTTTATTCCTAATAATATTTTCAATGAAGTAATCACACGCATGGAGAAGCATAGAGATATCTATCTTGGATAATCAAAGCCACTAATCAGATTGTAACAACCAAGACGTCTCCATGCTCTCTACGGAACACACAACCGAAATTAATACAAATACGCATGCGTGATACTTACATATAATCGCGTTACTTCAATGCAATTAAAGATCACGCATGCGTTTCGTAACTCTGCTGCGATTTTTGTCGTCGAGTTTATTTGTGAGGCGATACCCGAAATAAAAAAACACTTTTCCGACATTGAAAAAACATATTTCCTATTCGATTGGCGTTCGTTTCGCCATTATACAAACCTCAAAATCTCCAATTTGACAAGCGGATTCTTCCCCTTTCTGTAGCTGGATTGTGACGAAACGACAAAAATATATGACAATTCATTGGCTATTCTCACCACGTTTGTCACATTTATGACATTCGTCATTTAATAGGCAGTTGTACGTAACTATATTGTTACACCAATACTTTCCACGCTCCGTTAGATGCTATCATTCGGAAACGATAACATTATTAACACATTTATCTGAATGGTTCGGTGATTACTTTTAGGAAATAAAACATTAACCCATATTATGGGAAAGAGTATAAAATTATTTTAACTTATTAATTATCGTAAAGTGTTTTTACCCTTTTCGTGATTTGGGTATTCAGCTAAGAACATAGTTGTAGGCTATAAATGCAAGTACATACCAGATTGTGTTATTTCCGTAGTACAATGCATTTATATACATCCGTAATACAGATTAAGTGCTTACGCCTCTAGGCATAGATAACATATCAGATAATTATAGATATAAATATTAATTTCGTGATATAAAAGTTTTTACAATGATAAGGACTGAAACGGCCGCCAAACCTTTCGAGTTTTGATTCTCCAAAGTTTGCAATGTTAAGAAGGTAATTTATTGCCATACATCGTAGAAATTTTTGAGTTCTTATTAAAGTTAACCACACATTCATTAGATTAAAAGTCTAGTATCTCTACCCTCAAGCCATACCTGGCTGGCCTCTCAGGTATTTTAGGAACTGCAGATTTCTCCTCGCCAACCTTGCCCCATCAACTTGACACAGCAGTAAATTTTCTTGCCTTAACGAAGTTCAGCTAAAAATTCCATGAATTTTGTATAAAAAGGTAAAAAGGGAGGATCACAAAATACTACACTACTCTTTTTTTTTAAATCTGAGTCCATTTTGTATTCCCATAAAAGTTGATGATTCAAAGTCGGTGATAAGAAGTTTGATGTTCCTCTTCAGCCCACGCATTGAAAGGTCTGACACCAATTGCCAAGGGTGGGACCAGATCTCTCGTTTTCTCTCTCTCTTTTTTGTTGTCGAAAAAATTTTAAACGGCCATGGTCTGTTTTGTAAACATAGATGGGAGGCTTTGATTCTTTGCCAATAGTGTAGGTTATAAAATAAAAACCCACTCAAAATGTAAATTTTATTTAAAAATTCATCAATAAGAAATTAAATGACTGAATATTAATGATATTGTTGAAATTAAATCATTAGATAGGCCATTATGGATCGTAAATCAGATGTAAACTTCTTTTTTAATTCTTCAATGAAAGTGTATTGAAACTTAATATAAAAATTATTCATAATTTTTTTTTTTAAACGAAAAGATTAAAAAATTCAATTTTACTGATTTATAATTTGAATCTCTGAAAATTTGAGTTTGATAAGATTGAAAAATTGACTTGTTTTATTTATTTTTTTAAATATAATTTTATAAATCAAAACATTATTTTAATCGCATCTTTAATATTTATAGACTATATTAAAATTATAAATTAATAAACATTCAAAATTACCTGAGAAAGTCCTAGATATATCGAAACTGTTTCGGAAATATACAAAAACCTGCCATCAGCTGCTAAAGCGAATGCAAATCCGTCTAATGACTGAAAAATACATAAATAATCTTCAAAATAAAGTTAAAATATTTAAATATTTATAAAGAAAAAAAGATATTTTAGTTTCATAATCTCTCCATAGATGGTTCTGTCCCTTATCTAATATTGAGATATGAGGCCATAAAATACACTCCTCTCTAATGTGTGCTATTTAAATACCTTTTAACTTAATAAGACTGTTGAATACAACTTTTATAGTAGATTGGAAACAAAAATAGATATTTTTTTCTTTTATTAAGGTTTTAATTTTAGTAATTATTTTCATAGTAACGCGTATAATAAAACGCTTTTATGTCATTTATATAAGTACATTTGTACATGGAATACCCCTTAAAAAATTATTATATATAACTACATCGCATATATTGTATATTTTATTAACTGTTATTAGATGTTTATAAAGTAATTTATCTCTTTTTTTCAATTACTGTAATATTGAACAGCTTTTGTAGTATAATTTTCAAATCTTATTAAGAAAAACTGATTCTTTGGTTATAATCGAATCTCCTTAACATTAGGGGCCTATTTGAGAGAATTATAATTAGCTATTCTCCCTTCCACTTACATTATACTCTAAATTAAGTCAAATAATAACAGCTATTATGAATAAAATTTCTCTAAATTATGGTTATCTATTGTTAAAAATGTTATTGTTAATGGAACTCAAATCCTGATAGGAGTGGTCGATGGACTAGGCTGTCCCGGTCAAATTTGATTGAAATCTGCTCTACATTCACCGATGTAACAGCGAAATGGTAGTTTAAACATAGGCCTATAGGAGAGAAAGCAGAAGGAGATTTAATCCCGTTGCGCTAGACAGTGACCTTGAGCTTTGCTCTTCCGTATTTTGAAAGGCACTCCTTGGATTTAGGGCTCCTAATGGGTAGATGTTATAACAAGTATCGTTGCGGTTGATGCTCGAAACTGCATGCAACAGGTTCAAATATTTACCGTCGACAGCAGAAATAAACGTATAAATAGGTGTTATAGAAATTCGTGAATTCGAAAATTGAAGTTTATTTTACTTTATTTTTAAGTACACAAGAGGCCAGTCCACTTTTTCTTCCTTAACCAGTCGCGCCAGAATAATGATTCTAATTCTAAATACGGCAGAAGATGGAAAAGGTGAAGAGTTTATCTCTATTTTCAATCATTTAAATGTCAAAGCGGCTAAAAGTGTTGGTAAAATGTGTTTGCATTCGCAGTTTTTCCTGTAGAAACTTCACGTTATCTAAATTCTGTTTTATAAGCATCATTTGTAAGATAAATTAAAGCAACATTTTTCAAATAATAATTTAACGTATTAAAGGCTGAAGTATACAATGTTTATCCTTCACGAAGTTCAGTTTTTTTTTTCTTTGGTCTTTTAACCGGTATGGAAAAGTGAAGATTCGATAAGAACATAAACTAAATATTTTATTTTAAAAATACTAAAGAATAAAACTTCACCTAAAAAATAATAATAATAAAGTTCGTGGCATGAGAAATTTTCGGTGTTAATATACAAAACGTGATATCGCCAAGCGGAGCTAAACCATTGTTACAGTAATTACTTAAGGAGGATGGAGATTATAGACTGGAAGAAGATTTATAGGATTCTTACCTACACGTAACTTTACCACCGAAATTCGTGACGTAGGTGTTTTAACTATCACGCGTTACAGGAATACAGGCTACCGACAAATTACTAGTTTGAATTCCTACCATAGATACATCAATAATGTGTTGTCAGTTCTTTTAAATGACAACCCATGAGAAAATATCCTTGTTTGAATAAGGAAAAAAAAATCTTAATGCCTTTAAACAAATCTTTAATTTGATTTCAACCCGGAATATTATGATAAGACATTCATTTATTAAGACTAGTTTAAAAAATAAAGCCATTTAAGATTTTTTATTATATCATTATTCCTAATGCGCTGTTTTAGATCTAAGCCGTTAGCAATAATAAATCTTTGTTTCATCAAAATTTCCATCTGACTGTATAATTTATAAAACAAAAAAATTGAAATATAGTCTAGATGTAAACACACCTGGAAATCTAGATGAATAAATTAGATTTTATGATAATTTTTGTGTATTAAAGTTTAGGCCTATTAATGTCTCGCTAGCTAATCTGTAAGAAGCTTTTAAAAAATGAGTTCGATCCCGAAGTTTTAACTTAATCATCGAAGAAATAAATCTCATATTTTAATTTTGACAATTAGATTTATAAAATAAAATAAAAAAGAATGGGGAAATATGAAGCAGGAAATTCATTTCCTTAATTATTAAAGCCAGATTGAAGCACCCTTCTCATTCGGATGATAATGAAGTAAAAGCGCCATATTTTATATGGCTAATGTGTGCATAGTTAAAGGTTCAAACATCAAATGATATTACTCACCTGGAGGATGTGTGTCCCCT